TGGTAGGACATGTGTTGTCTCCATTGGAGCTACAATAATGCGATAAAAGTCAAGGTCTTATGCAACCACTTCAATCATATTCCATCAAAAACAGAATTACATGGATAAAAATCTCTCTTTCGATCATTTTTTTTAATAATATTACAATCATTCCTACATTACCACCAAAAAAACAAAAAAAAAGTAAAACTCAAGCATTTAATTCGAATAATATTCTTACAAAAACTTGTGACAAGCCACTAAAGCCAAAAGGTAAAAAACTTTCGATAATCTTTTTTAAAAATGCTATTCGCAAAAAGTTTTAGTAAAAAGCAAATTTCAGTGCTAAAAAGGTTGACTTTATCCATCTTTCTGATTATTATGTCTTTGATCTAAGTGCGGGCTTAGGTGGAAATTTTATTTGCCTTTAATTTTTATCTTATTGTGTTTTTTGTATTTTGTATTTCTAAATTTTTATCTCTTTTTTTATTTTAATTTTTTGAAAACTCCCGCTTTTCAAAAGATTTCTTGATTTTGTTTAAAATATTTGAAAAAATAGTTTTTAACTTGGTGCTTTTTTTCTAAACACCATCATAATTACTTACATTTTTATCATAATTAACTATATATCGTCTCGCAAATTTTGTGCCGAGAATTTTAATTTCATGGGCCAAGTCAAGTTGATTTTTAGTCGTCTCCCCTAAATTCATTTTTCAAAAGAAGTTTTAACCAAGCAAGCTCTAAGGCTAAGTCTCCTTGCCAAGGTAAGAAGAATAGCTTCCTAACCTAAGGGCCTGTTTGGTTACTAAAGAATTCAGAAAGTGTATCGTAGGAAGCCAATATTAAAAAGCCAACCTGCTACAATTAGGATTTTTAGTTTCTTGGCATAAATTTCAAAGTTACAATATAATTAGTTATATTATTAAGATAATTGATTATATGTGCATTTAGAAGGTATAATGGATTTCTTTTTAAGAAGGCACTTTTCAAGATATTTAACTGATTATACTTTAGATATAAGTGTTTATATGTCTTTAACCCTAAAAAAATATTTTTAATATAAGTTATGATTTAACAACCCATGATTTTTTTGAAAATTATTTTTAAAGTCTTGAACAACCAATGAACCAAATATGTATTAAAAATTTATTTTTAGCTTTATCAAGGATGTGATTGAAGTTTGAGCTCATTGAATTGGTGCTACTCAGGTTAAGGTTTGAACAAATAGTGCAATGGAGGGGGGGGGGGGGCATGGTGTTTGGGGGAGAAGAGGATCTTGAATTTCTTTTGGTTGATAGTTTGGTAGGAGCCTTAAAAGTGCTTTAGCACGCTTTCAATACAAAGGCTGTATGTGGTGCAGCTTTCCCAAAACGGAGGAGGTCAACCGCTGAGAGGATGTGGGAAAAAAAAGAGGGTCATTTTGCGAGCTGACCTCATTACCACCACAGTTTTTTGTTGAGTTTGTTAATTTTATTGTAATTTTACTAATTTATAATTTTTTAAACAGTTCATATTCATATGAATATTTTAAAATACTTATTTATAAGTTAAATTTATTTTATTAAATAATAAATATTAATTATTTTTAATAATTAAATTAAAATAAAATTTTAATAATTTTTAATAACCTTAATAAAAAGTAACAGTGGCCATAGTGGCCAGAGTTATTGCTTTTTAACAATTGCCCATTATAAAAAGCAGGTTCTTTGCATTAGTAAAAGGAAAAAAAGACAAAAGCAAAAAATAAACATGATATTTGGAGATCCCAAAAAAAAAAAAAAAAAAAAAAAAAAATCAGGTGGATGTTAAAAAAATTAAAATACACGTTTGGTGTTTGGTGTTAAAGAAGAATGCTTAAGAGGTGTTTGTCCCCTTTTTTTCTTTTTAATTTTTTAATTTAAGGGTTCTGGTGACTTTTCAAAGTTCTTCATAGGACTTTTCTTCACAAGGGGAGCGGTTTTTTTCATTAAATTGAAATTTACCAATCGTAGGATTAGGTTTAATGACTTTAAAAAGGGCAAAACCTTATTTTAAATCTCTAAACTTATCTTAATTTTTTATTTAAAATTTTAAATTAAAGTAAATAAACTCTTAAAATTGATGATGTAGATAATTTAATCTTTCTTTTTTACAATAAATTTAACATCAATCTGTACATTGCCTATGTGGGGAATGCATTAACATATTATTACTTAGATGATAAATATTGATCTTATCCATACAAATAAGGCATAAATGTGTATTAAATCTATAATAAAAAAGAAAGTTGAATTACTCAAGTAAATAAATTTAAAAACTTATTTACTTTAACAAAATTTTAAAAATTTAATTGAAATTTTGAAATAAATTAAAAAACTTAATATAAAGTTTTGATTTTAAAAAGATTTCACTCTATTTCAATTCAAATGAAATATTAAGATAACATTAGTAAATATTAGAACTAAATTTAATATGAGAAAAAGGGAAGATTAAGATATTTT